AGCCTCCCGACACTCTTGCAAGGGAAAGAGAAGGATTTTGATCCCTGTTTGCAAGTGAGGAAACTGAGGCACAGAGCAGGGGCAGTATCTGCCTGGGGTCTAGGGGGTAACAGAGCCCAGTTCTCCTGACTCCAGCCCTGCGCTTAACCATTAGACAGCAACAACTCATGAGGATTAACAAGTACGTTCTTAGCTGGCTCTTCAGTTATTTGTATTCTAGGAGCACTCGGAGATCCCTGTGCGAGCTGTAATCCCTACCGGGAGGAAATCTAGACCCAGCCCCAGAGAATTTGCAGTCTCAATAGACCATGGGTGGGAGGGAAGGCGGGGCACTGACAGAAGGTCCCACAGCCACGCTGAGACTAGAACTGGAGTCTCTCGAGGGCTGTAGCTCGTTGGCCTTGCTGCCTCTAGCTGTTTCCCTGTCCACAAGCATAGAAAGGAGCGGTAGGCAAGGCCAGCAAGGTCTCCTGCTACAGTCCAGAGTCAGGGCAGGGAGTTGCTCCTTTGCCAGCTCTATAACCAGAGCTCTGCAAATCCCCCCACTCAGCCTTTTCGAATGCGGTTAATTTCCACTTCCCCGGGGCCCCTGGGCTGCTTGTGTCAGTCCGATGTCTGTGTAGAAGGGAGGCGGTGGGAGGTTTCACTCCTGTCTCCCTACAGGGAGCAAGCCCCCCTTACTGTCTCAGTGCCAGGACATCTCTGCTCATCTCGCTCTCTCCATATTATTCCTCCCTCTCCTACAGAAACATCCATTACCCTCCGGAGACTGCCAGCATCATGCTGCTGGCCAGGATGATAGCCACTGTCAAACAGGTGCGTGCCTCAGTTTGCTGCTCGTGGTTCTAGGCGTGTCTCTGCATCTCCTCCACATTGCTCCCTGCTGCCGGCCCTCTGCTTTAGGGGAACGCCAGCGTTGCCCAGGAAGGGGTCAGCATCAGCACCCCCACACTAATGTTAGTCTTGCTAGTGGGGTTCACAGCAGAAGTGAGAACGTGGTGGCACAGGTTATCAAGCTGAGGACATATCCAGCGTCCTGTGCAGGCTGGACTTAGTTATTAGCCCGTAAGCATGGCCATACTGGGGCAGACCACAAGCCCATCATCCTGTCTTCTGACTGTGGCCAATGCCAGGTGTGCCAGGGGGAATGAACAGAGCAGGCAACCATCAATCCCTCCCCTGCCACCCATCCCCAGCTTTTGGCAGACAGACGCTAGGGCCACCTTTCCTACCCATCCTGGCTAATAGCCATTGATGGACCTAACCTCCGTGAATTTATGTAGTTCCGTGTTGAACCCTGTTATAGTCTTGGCCTTCACACCCTCCTGTGGCAAGGAGTTCCGCAGGTTAGGAACATAAGGCCGTAAGAGCAGCCATACACTAGTTAGCTGCGTGTAGTGTGAAGAAATAACGTCCTTTGGTTTGTTTTAAACCTGCTGCCTATTAATTTCATTGGCTGGCCCCTGCTGGATCTGGTGCTGCACTGTCTTGCCTCCATCTACATCTTCAGTGCTACGGTTATTGCTAGCTCGGTGTGCTCTGGCCACGCCTTCCCTTTGCCATGCAGACTTGCTGCAAGCTAAGCACCTGGCAGGTCAGCACCCCTCATTCCCTGCTCTTCCTGGGCACTGCCTGTAGCAATAGGGCGGGGCTGCCTGTAGCTCTGGGAAAACGTGGTCTGGTGTTGGCCCAGACCTTGTAAGGGCTTTGGGTATCATGCTGAGAAGGGCAGAATAATACCCCCCTGCCAGTGTTTCCACCAATCTTTTCCACCTGTGTCCGGATTTTTTCGATACATGTGCGGAATAAATTTTTATGTGCACCAAGGCATGTGTGAATGTGCACCACCACTAGAAACAAAAAAAAACTAGCTGTGGGTGCTCTGCTGATCAGCTGGGCAGCATTTGGATGTCTCCTGAGCGGCCGCACAAATGCCCAGCTTACGGGGAACACTGCCCCCCACCCGTGTGGCAGAGCTGAGCCATGGGAAGTGAACTTTATGGGCTAACATCCAAGGTAGGTGACGTGTTGTCTCAAGACCGCTCCCTGAGACGTGATCTCCAGGGGCCTGGGAGAGCTCAGGAGAAAGGGGTGGGGCTGTGTATGAAGCAGCATTTCCTAACTGCAGTTTGGGGTTGTGACGTCCCTCGTTCCATCAGAACCGTTATCACCCCTAGCAAAGGGAGACCTGAGCTTGCCTAGAATAGAAGCTATCACTATGGAACTAGGTTAAGTCCTTTGCATGAATAGCCCCTCCATGGCGTATTCTCCTTCTCGTTCTAGCTTCCCGCACGGCCCTCACTCTGTGTGTCCGAGTGTCTCACCTGCATGGCCTCACAGCTCCCCTCTCAAATCTTATCTTTATGTCGCATATGGGGAAACTGAGGCACGGGTGGACATGTCCACAACAGTGTGTCAGTGGCAGAGCAGAACTGAACCCAGCTCTCCTAGTCCCCACCCTGTGCGTTTAAACACACAACCAGCCATCCTCCCCTTTTCTTTCCCTCTGGAGCGCCTGTTTGAGCGCGTGTTTGGTGCGTTTCAGGCGAAGGACAAGGACCGGTGGGTGAAGCTTTTCTCTCAGTTCTGCTGTAAAACGGCCAACGAAGAGGAGGAGATTGTTCACAAACTTCTGGGGGACAAATTCAAGGTGAGCGCGTCGCTCCTGCCGTGTGCTTGGGCCTTTGGGGCAAGGCAGGGGCGTTCATGGGGTCCCTGGGTTCCTCTGCTTTCCCTCTGAGGGCTCCTTGGTCACACAGACACCCCACAGTCATGAGCAGACCTGGGACTCTCAGCGTCCAAAGCACGGGCCTCCTCCACTTGGACTAAGGCTCAGCGACGGGCCAGCCGTGGGACCGGCCACCTGAGGGAGCCACAGCCGCGAAGCCCCTGTATTGCCCGGGCTCCGTGGGAGCAGACCAAGCTACGGCCTGTCTGCTGTCAGTGCCAGGGGTCTTTATGCTCCGGCAGCAGGGTGTGGCCAGACCCCAGCGTCCGCAGTGGCTTTGGGTTGTCCATGTGGGACCGTTTAGACAAGCAGCCTCCTGCCGGACGGCGGTGAAGCAAAGAGCCGCCTGGCCTGCGCCAGACTCCGGCTGGCTGGAACGCGGCCACCGCACCAGCCCTGTGGCTCTCTCCTCGCTCATCTTGGGGCCCTGTTTCTCCAGGGCCAGCTAGAGCTCCTCCGGCGGCTCTTCACAGAAGCCCTGTACGACGAACACCTCAGCAGGGTGAGTGCACATCCTCGTCACCCCCTTCCTCCCCAGGGGGCGCGCCAAGGAGCCCCCGTTTCTCCCCAGAGCCTCTGAAGTGGGCTGCCTGTCCCGAGAGCACCGAGGGGCTAGGGTTGGGCCTGGAGGCCGTCAGTGCCTCACCCTCGCGGGGCTGAGGCGGAGTACGAGGGGCAGCCTCGCTCTCCGGCCCCGAGCATTTCACCCCTGCGTGCTCTGAGCTCAGACAGGCCCAGGGGGCTGGAAGGGACCCGAGAGTCATCTCGTCCTGAGGCAGAGCCGAGTCACCCAGACCAGCCTGCCCGGTGTCCAGCCTGTTCTAGAAACTTCCAGGGAGGGCGGGTTCCACGGCCTCCCTTGGAGCCCTAGAGCTGAGCCCCCCTCACAGGGAGCCGGCTTTTCCGAAGAGCCAACCCACCTCCCCCTGGGTGCTGATCGAGCCCAGAAAGGAGCAAGAGGGCCAATGTGGGGAGCTGGGGGGACCAGAATCGGCTCACTAGGGGGCAGCAAGCAGGAGTCACGGGGTGAAGCCGAGGGGGGCAGAATGGAAGCTGGTGACCCTGGATTCTGCTAGAGGCTGGGGCCCCCTTGCTTGCTTGGTCCGATGGTCAAAGGTCCTGATCTCCCCCTCCCCTCCCCGCAGGGAATGGGAGCTGGGGATGCTAAGCGCTGATGCCTCAGTTTCCCCAGCCAGGTCTCTCTCTGGGCATTTCTAGCGCTCCCTCCCGGGTGCAGGCTTTGCTATGACAGGTGCTAAAGCCGCGTCACAGCAGAGCGGGGCCTTCCTTTGCTGCTGGCTGTAATAGCGGTAGTACCCGTTCTCTGGCCGCCCCAGCGCCCGCGGCCCGTCGTGTGAGTCTGTAACAGGCCTGGATCGTGAGGCTG